AAGAAGAAGAAGAAGAAGAAGAAGAAGAAGAAGAAGAAGAAGAAGAAGAAAAAGAAGAAGAAGAAGAAGAAGAAGAAGAAGAAGAAGAAGAAGAAGAAAAAGAAGAAGAAGAAGAAGAAGAAGAAGAAGTGCTTCAATTTCTGTATGTCTCGGAGGTAATCCATTTATAACTATCGAAATATTCGGCAATCCCGCTAGGGTTAAGATAGACGCAGACCCAGTGCTCACCACGTCCAGTAGAAAGATCAGTGTCGATAACGTATAATCGGGGTCTCTTGCTGGCAATGTTGCGTCTCTTTGGGAGTTTGTCTCTGGGGAAAATCCCTCCAAAAAGACGACGAGTCCGCACACCAAATGTTAACCAATACCAAATGCTGTGAAATCAGTCACCACTTCACGATTTCTGCCAATTTCTATCAGGCTGTCCACTTCTCCATACATCAAAACATGAATAGGTTCTTGCAGCGGCTTCGCAAACTTTAATTCTAAGCGTAGTGATCCAGAACGGATCAATTCAATTTGATCACCGTCTAAAGGAGATGGTGATAGATCGAAAGCGAAGATACAGTAAGCAGCTGCAAAGTCGCTCATGTTCAAACAGTTTCCTTCATTTGTAGAAGCGAGTCCGAGTTCAATGAACAAACGATGATAAGATCTCACAAACTGGTTGTTTTCAAAGTCCGGTGTGAGTGGGGAGGAAGGTATCTGCTGTCCGTCTAGAAACAGGGAAACGTAACACACGTTGTGATGTTTGAAATGGAATGGGTTTTTGGTAAAATTACCATTAAAAGCATCACTGTCGACGAAACAAACGAGAAGGCGTGTATGGAGCTGGGCCAGGAATAGATTGTCCTGTGTGCTCCCAAGATTTCCCCGACTTATAGAAAAAGATTTGATAGTCACTCTTTTAACGGGGTAACGGGCTGATGTACACTCCAAAGCCTTGTTGACAGGAATTTGTACTGAAGGGTTGACCCTCAGTTTTCGCACAAATAGGGAAACGTGGGTTAGACTTCGACTGGTTTTAAAACCGGCACCCTCCGCCATAAGATGAAAAGACTCTTTGGATTTGACCAAACGTAGCTTCACGTCAACTCCATTCAAGAGGTAGCGGTTTGTATTCATGATGTCCACATGAAGACGACCGTACATTGCTACCTCTTTACTAGAGGCAGTCAGAGAACATCTGAATTTCATACCTGCATTTTCGTCCCCCTTGACTTGTTCGAAATGTCCGCTACTGTCGGCGTAAAACATTTCAGACGTAAACTGGCTTTGTTTTGCTCCAGAATCAAAATTCAAAACTCTTTCGAGATAGGCTCGAAAAGGGTAAATGTTTTCACTCGGGGTAACGAGCGTGTTGTTTAGGGATAGATCTACCTGTGAAAAAAGAGAATGGAACCAGTTGTTCACCGGTCCCACCCCAGCACCCTCATCTAGTGAACTTTCATCTGCTTTAGTGATCTTGGCTTTCACATAAAGGTAGGTGTTGGCGAGGTCTAGAAACTCACTCGAGCCCTTCTGGTTGATAGCGAATTCAACAGTAGCCGATGGTCCTAGCGATGACAAGGGAAGGAATTCCACGTACATTCCATTCTCGACTGATGTCTGTGTGGGTGGTAGACTGAACAAATCCAAAGCGGAATCAACTGTTTCAGCGGAACTCTGATGAAGAAGAGCCATGTTAACCGAACATGTCTCGCTGTCTGTTTGCTCTCTTTTGTTTTGGATTGCGCCTTCTTATACGTTTTGCAGCGGGTTCGCCAGGTGGAGCTGGGGCTACGGTGAATTCACCAATTGCTTTGTTTAACAGATTTTTTCCAACACCCTTCGCTCGTCTTTTCACAGCAGCTTTAACATTTTTACCCGCTAAGACGTCTTGGGCTACCTGCAATCCACCCTTGACTCCTTCACGTAGCAAAGTCTTGGCTCCGCCTTTAAGCAAAGGAACGGCTGTTCTCAGAAGTCCGTTAAGTAAACCACCAAGGCCTTTACCACGAAAAACCACCAATGTATACTGGGAGTCCGTGCCCTACCTGCTGTCTGTAATAAGCATCGTATAGAGCCGTATTTGTTTTATACGGCGTCCGCATGTTTCCTTTTTATATGTTGGCTTCTTCACCCTGAACGCCTGGGTCGTAAATGGAGTGTTACGACTGTCTTTCCGTGAGCGAATGAAGGTGTCTCCCCAGTGTCCAAATTAAAAAGTATCTCTATTGTATTAAACTGATGTCTGACCAAAGGTTGATAATGTGGTTTTTCAAATATTTTGTATACGACGTCGGACTTTTTATCTGTTGTCGGTACTACTCGCACGAGTGGGACCGTCATGTCACCAACTTGCCTATATGCAAAATTAAGTCACAGTAAATGTACATGGAGGAGGCACCTTTGTGAACATCAACCACTCCATTGCCTCTGAATTTTCCTGCTCCATGCATTTCATTTTCTGGCATGGATAAAATCTTTTCAAGCGTAGGACTTAACTGAACAAAGGCCCCCTCTGTATACATTCCCAGTATCGCTCGTTTGGAAGAGCGATCGTAGAAAAACTTTGCTTTCACTTCCTTTTTCTCTTTAGCGGTATTCTGTTCGTGCATAAGCTTGTTTATACTAGAAATAAGTCTCTCTGGTGTGGAATATAAGCCCTCTGGTAACGTCAAAAGAGCGGCGCCTGCATATCGATTTGGTTGAAATATTATCCAGACTTCATCTACCAAAACATTTGAATATATGTGTTCGGAAACTGAATTTCCGCCAAGCCAACTTCGTAATCTTTTCCAGAGAGGTCAATGGTCTACGGAAGCATTGTGTAAAAATGAGCACCATGATTGTCAGGAAAATGTTTCATACTACTATTTGAAGGCAGTGTTAGAAAAAAGTCCCCCATATCCGCTGCTCCTGCTTACTGTGGTGATGGCGGTGTAATAGTTGGGTTTGGCAGAACGTAGCCTAAGCAACTGGTCAGTAAAGCTATCCACAAGTTCTCTGGTTCAGAACCGCGAGACAGATTGACCAAAGCGACGATTGTTACTCCGTATATAAGGATGATTTGACAGAAAAACACAATTTCATTTCGAGGAAGCCTCCTCCCAAAAATAGTCCATAGCTTAGACGAGGGTCTTCCTTCCTTCTCCCGAAGATGGTCGAGTTCTTGATAATTCATAGCGCTGAATATTTCGGGCTGGGACCCAAGAGCAAAATGAAAGCGGGTATCCTGCCCAAGCGACTAAATATTGCTTCTCTCGTCCACGTAATCGTTGTTTTAATATTTCTGCTATGCGATAAATTTCTTTGTCTGCCAATTTTTGTAATTCAAAGCCATAGAAAGTCCCAATAAGCTCGCTCCCATCATCTGCTTTGAGTGTGTACACTCTGGGATTTGTTCAACGGTTAATTCTGCTGACTGTAAACAGTTCCTCTGTCCACGATGGCAAGTAGCCCTTTTAAAAAAATCGCTTCACTTTACTTATGCGCACTCGATCCCCCTCTTCGAAATAAGCAGAGGGGGCCTCTTCCTTTTGGGGTTGTCCATATAAGTTCTGCCAAACGAACTCTTGATTACTCGAATTCACTTGAGCTGGAGTGAGCTTGATACTTCTATGATACGTATTGTTTAGCTAGCGATTAGCGTTGGTAAAATGTCCAAGTAACGCCTTGTATTGTGTTTGGTAAAATAGCGCCATAGCCTTGCTTTCAAGGTCCTGTTAAAGCGTTCAACAACAGAAGCCTTAATTTGCACATTATTTGAGATATACTTGACGTTAAAATGTCCTTTCCTTACTTTTTTCCCCCTTCTGTCCAGCTATCCTTTCCTTGTTGTCTGTACTTTTGTCCTGCCGTTCCGTCTAAATATCATACATTTGTGTCGATTGGGCTTTAAAACCAAAAACTAAAAATAAAACAAACAAACAATGACCATGTGTTTACGGAATTCACGAAATCAAAACACCGGCTATAAAGCAATACTCCTGTAGTCCAACACTGCCCATAGAGCTTGCTAACTCATCATCATCGTCATCATCATCATCATCATCATCATCATCATCATCATCATCATCATCATCATCATCATCACCAGAAAAGAAACAACAGCAACAGATTAACAGTAGGTTCTGCCGGAAGCAGCATCAGATTTTGAAAAATGGCCCTAAATACAGTCGTATAATAGGAAAAAGTAATATGTTAATGTTTGGTGAATTCCAGTACGTGGAAGTGGATAGTATGATTCGCGAGACCTGGTACGCCTATTTTTAGATCTGACTTCGCGGGAAGATCTGAGTCACGGCGAGGCTTGATTTGAGAAACGATTAATACCCAGATATTTTTTCAAAATTTTCCTCCACTGGTGAAACCAAGGTAAACAATGCCCACTCATCAAGAGAAGTCCTCGAGGAAGGCCTACCTCAAGGTTCCTGTCTGAGTTGCACTTTGTTTCTGATCTTCTTTAATGATTTAATGAAGGGAGTGCTTATTTAGGCCACATATGGCCTAAATAAGGTAAGGGAGGGGGGTTTAGCTTATTTGGGCCTCAGTGTGGCCTAAATAAGGTAAGGGAGGGGGGTTTAGCTTATTTAGGCCACACATGCTCAAACTACCGGGGCACACCCTTTTCAGGCAACTGAGTTCGTTCCACTTTCATAATGGTGCACCCTTCTCATTTAGTACAGTTTTGTCTCAGTGTACAACTTATATATATATATATATATATCATAATGAATATTGTAAGAACAAAGCACGATACGCAAAATTTTGCTCAACCCCAAAGGTTTGAATGAGGGCCAGATTTTTCCTTCATGGAGGGGCAAAATCTAGGCTGCCATTTTGGCACACTTTGGTCAAGTGAAAAGGTCAAATCCTCCGAATGGACTTCCGGGTCAAATTTGGGGTATAAAAAGTGTGTCCACAACGTGGCTGAGTCAAAGTTACACTATCTTTGGCTGGGTGGCACTCTCTCGTACTGTCTCGTAGTAGTACATCCCTCGTACAGTCTCGTAGTAGTACATGTAGATCTAGTAGTAGTAGTAGTAGCAAAGATCGTGTAGAGAATCTTTGGTAGTAGATTCTATCTAGTAGGCAGTTTAGTGAACGTGCACGCGGCACGGCGAATCGGCCTCGATAAGCCCCGTAGACCTTTGTGATCGGCCACGAAGCCTCGTGTTTTGATGGGTCTAAACAACTTAGTGTTAATCGCACTGCCACATCCGACAGGCCTACATCTTTTTAAAAGGAAAAGAAAGGTCATCAAAATGGTTGAATTTGCGTGAAAATCGATTCGGTAGAACTGGAACTATTAAAATTTGCTTCTGAAAACTAACAAATTACAAGGCCATTTTTAAAACTCGATGAAATAAAAACTACTGGCTGTATTATTCTGTATAAGTTATGAAACTTCAGGACGTATTATTATTTTCCAACATCTTTTGACGCCTTAGCTGTAGAGGTTGAAGTTTTCACAACACTAATAGATCTAGTAATAGGGCTTTCCGCAAAAAAAATAAATGAATGCATAGATCTACAAAAGCCAAACCACCGAATCAACCGGTCAGCGACCCGGGCACCCCACTCTCCCCTGAACACTGTGATAACGTGTTGCTTCGGTATAATTATTCAACTATTAATACGTGCGACTATGGCAATTGGGATGTACTGACTGATAAAGGGATTCACAGTTTTGTTTTTATTTTACCATATATTTGACTTTAATAGTGCAGGTGATAGCTAGATCTAGGTTCCCTGTCTAGAATCAGTAGTAGCAGGCCTATGCTAGAAGCAGCCAGAGAGCCTACAACTGCTAGATCTAGATCTAACTCATTGCTATGCCTTTGGGCTTTGGAATTGAAATAAAACAAATTGTACAGTTCTAGTTAATTTTAGATTCAACAACTATCTGTATTTCTAGAGTTAATAATAACAAATCTCACCATAACAATCACTTTTACTATTATTAGAATAATTAGATCCAACTTTTTTTTCTAAAATCTGTTTTGCGCAAACTTAAGACTTTCTCTACTAATCTACTTGTAGAGCACAGAATTTGCATTGTAAGCCTCTGCTCAGTCTTTTACTTTTAAGTATATATATACTTAATAAAATACGTTTAGATCTAGATCTATATAATCATTTTATTTTATTTTCTGGATATTTTTAAAACTCTTTTTTTTTTAACATGTCATAAAGTCAAATTGTGCCTTTTCTTTGATAAGAATAGCATTAGCAGTGGACTTTTTAGACAGTGAGTCTCTGATTCAATTTTTTTTAAAAATATGCTAATCAATGAAAATTGCAAATTGATAATAGTATAGTCCTGTAGAGGATAGGTGGACTCCGGGGTCTGCATAGCGGAATACTAGGTTTTAGGGTGTGAACCCCGAAGTCACCGTAGTGAAATAAGGTTTGGTTTAAGTAAGGATTGGTGGACCCCGGGGTCAACGTAGTGATAAATAAGCAGGTTTAAGGTGGACCCCGGGGCTCGGGGTCTATCTAGCAAAATACTAGGTTTTAGGACAGGTGGACCCCGGGGTCACCGTAGTGAAATAAGTAGATTCTCTAGGTTTCTTTAAAGATCGTTGGACCCCGGGGTCATCGTAGTGAAATAAGTAGGTTTTTAAAAGGATTGGTGGACCCCGGAGTCACCATAGCCGTAGAAGAATAAGAAGGTTTAATTAAGGATTGGTGGACCC